ACCCAACACCACCCCTTAATTGAGCCTCTTTTCAAAAACTTGCCCTGTATAGAAGAGATTACAAAGGTTGTAATTATTAGTTAATTCAACTTGATCTCATTTTTAACGTAGAAAATTGTCAATAAATGTTTTACATTTCAAAGATCGTAAACTAGTTGAATGAGTCAACAGAAGAAAACACAGGGGCTGTGAGCTATTTCCTCAAAAAGTAATTTGCTTTCTTGTTCTAAAACTTAAGTTAACGTACCTGGAAAAAGAAACAGGGAAAACTTCCTAGGCCTTAAGGTTCAAATGAGTCCTAGATGATACTAGTCGTGGAGCCCTACCTTCCAAAAGGCATTCTCTCCCCTTTGCCACCCATCCTTCTGAGCACCTGTATAAATGGAGGGAGACACTGAGTTGTGGTCAACTCCTTGTTCACGTGGGACCAGACAATGCGCCACCACCTTGTCACATATATAAAGCACTGCCATTGTGTAGTCTCTACCATAAGTTAGAGAACGCCTCAGACAAAGAGTATCAGAATAATTTTTTTTCTTGACATATATTTCCAGTATGAAGAATAATGCAGTATGTAGGGCTACTAAGATCACAGTCATTTGGTGGTATCAAGAATTGCTAATGGTGTGCCACAAATGCGGCCTCTGAATCAAATTCAGAATAAAACCTGCACGTTGAGCAGTCCAGATCCAATGCTCTGGTGGAACAGCTCCCTCTATGATGCTGATCTTCCACAGTTTCAGTGTAAGGAGTTATGAGATAATCTTGTCGGCGATCTACAGAAGACCACATGGTCTGTGTTTAGCCTTTCTTCAAATGGCTTAATATTGGAAATTAATCTTTTATGACATAAGGAAAGAAAAATGTAAATATACTGAGCTGCTGCAATGCTCTATTTGCAAAGTTAAAACTAAATCATCACATGAATTCCCAAACTAGGGCAAGCACTAGTTTTAGTCACTTTTTCCAGAGTAAGTCCTTGTATACTAACACTGTACTTTTATTGTAAACCTTTATATTTCATGGACCACTCTAAAAAAAAGGAACATTGTGTCAACTCAAATGACAAACTCCCATCTGCTCACACTAACAAATCTTTAATGCTTTTTATTTTACAAGCTACTTTAATATCTACAACCACATTTTAAAAGCAGATAATACCCAGAAGAATGCATAAGAAAGTTTTCTAATTTTAAAGTTAAAGGAATATTCTTAGTACCATTTCAAATTTTTTCCCTTTAAACATCAGCTCTCCCTCACTGGCTCTTGATCTCAGGTCATTAGAGCACAATACATTTATTTTAATGCCATTGATTTAGGGTGCCTGCAGCCTGCATCACATATTTTTGGATTAAAAATATTATACTTTTATCGGTGATGTACAGGAAGATATAGATTATTGTATATTTTTAGAGGTTTTTTTTAAAAAATTTACTTAGAAAAATGAATTTTTGGAACCATAGTAAAGCTGGGGCTAACCTGGGGTTAAGCTAGAATTGTGAGGTATAGAATTCAGGTATTTTTCACCATAGCCAAAAAAGTGAGCTTCACACAAATAAAGCCAAAACAACGTAACAAAAAATAAAGTCACCCTCCCCTTTAGCTCCTTGGCAGCAGACAGACCCCATTTCCTGCTCCTATCTCTGTTTTCGACACTCTTGGCTTCTGATTGCAAAATAAGTCATTTCCAAACTCTCTTTACCCAAAACCATCTCATCCCACTTGTGGTACTTGCTTTCACTCAACTGCAGCACTGTCATATATTATATTTTAGAGATATTATTACTGTCTCAGTGTGTCAATTTTAAAGTTCAGACTCAAGAAGTGGTCCTTCAAAAAGTGACTACATTGGCAGGTGGAATAAAGTAGATCACCCAATACACCTTTTCCACCCTCAATTAGAAGGTACATTTCTATGAAAGGTTGGGGAGTCCTATGGTGTGAAAAAACAGAACTGCTTTTTTTCCTTTATAAATGTTTCAAATATGGACCACTATTATTTTTTGGCAAATTAATCTTTTGTCACTTCCCAAAGTACAGTCAGAAGCCTATTTTTCTACATATTTTAAAATTTCTCATGTTTCGGGAAATTATTTGCACAAATTATGAAAAGCTACAGAAATAACAGAGTAAATGAAAGCTGAATGAACAATTCTCTGAAAGAAGGTATATATTTGGATATATTCAGCAGCACTCTGAACATTGATTTCCAGTTTGGGATTTATTTATTTTCATTTCCTGTCCAGATTAAAAAACAGCTGCCCAGAACAAAAGTGGATCACTAAATGCAGCATTTATTCTTTAAAGATTTGATAGGGAAAAATGTTATTTGTAGTAAGATGTGTGTGATACAATTTCAGCCTATTACTTTCAATGTTCACGCTCTAAAATATTTCTCAAAAATAATCTATTTAATGCAACTGTGATCTCTCTGGCAATGGTTTCTCCTGTTTGCTGAAATATGTATAGACCCTAAATATTTACCTTAGCTACACTTCTTTTATACTGGAACCTGACAATGCTTGATGCAGATTTCATTGCTGCTGAAGGAAGTCCCTTGCAAGATTTAAAGCTTCACATTTTTCATCCAGTCCAACTGAAGTTCCATGTCAAATGATAAAATCAAAGCTCCTTCACTCCAGATCCCATGGAAAGACACTGATCATTTGGATTTCTGTATACCGCAGATGTCATAATGCCCTTACGGTTTATGATGCTCACACACAGTCGACAGAACCCTTTAACTTTAAATTCTCTCAAAATTTGTAGTTGCTTATATCTGTGGAGAAGGAACTGTCAGAAGACCAGTTGGCTTGATCTTGTTTATGCCTCCATCCAGAATGCAGACTCTTGGATATTTGATTTGCACTAGATGAGCTGCAAACTGAAACAGATACACATCGTTAGTATGGTGTGTATTGTACTCCTTTTTCTGAGCTAAGAAAGCAAAGTGAAACAGAGGATAACCTTAATAATATCCCCATATAATATCTGCATTCATCTGTGAACCCCACAACAGAATTGCTTTCCTACTAACTACTATGGCATAGCAGCCCATAATGATTTGTTTGTATGCATTGCATTGAATTTGGTGGTCGTGAAAAGTGTCACACTGGTAGCTCTGAATTCTCTTTACAGATGATGTATTGTACTGGCATCTGCAGATCCAGTTTCCTCACCCATCGCTATTAGGATTCCTTAGCATCTGATCCAGAGGGACCATCTTCTAGTGGTGAAAAAGGGGAGATAAAATTCTCCATAGCCATCCAATTCCCAGCATCTGTCATTACAATCAGTGCTTTACCTTGACATTCAATTTCCCAACCAAATGTTGTTTGGAAAACACACAGCCATCTCCCACCCCCACAATTTAAAAAGTCTGTACAATGTTTGTTTCCTTCCTGATTTATCATCAATTACTATCCATTTGCACAACTCACAGGAAGTATAAAGTACTAAGAATTACGTCTGTGCAGCCAACTAAATTACCAACTCCAACAGGGCAATAGCTTCCATTCAAGTGCCACCACGTGAACTGAGTTTGGCACAGTAAACCGTGGCTGGAAGAATTTTTTTGTCTACTTCCCATTTAAATGACCATGACACTACAATAGCTACCAAGACTTAAGATGATGTGGTTCAGCGTTACCTGCTCAATCCTAAAACAGAAAGTCAGGGGCATTTCCTTTAAGGGCGACAAACAACAACAATTAATAGTAGCAAAGTATTAAACTTCTTCCCCAGCTAGAATTTTCACCTTGTAATGAGTTTTATGACATCCTTGCTGTAAAGGCATTTTAAATATGCACGCATTTCATTTTTATACATCTGTATGTCAAACAAAGTTATTGCATTTCTTTCCAAGTGATTCAGGTTAGACTTGAATAGGGAGTGAGAATTCAGCACATGATCTGTGATCACTGAAGACTTGTTCAGACAATATAAGGGGTCACAGCTGATCACAGTCAGGGAATTCCCAGGGTCATGTCTCATGGAGGTACTACCCTAGGGAAGACCAAAGGTAAGTTACATTGGTGTGTCTTTCTCCTTCCTCATTGGCTTCTGTCAGTCAATGGAAGATTCAAAGGATTAAAAAAAAAATTACAGGCTATTAAGCAAGATGGGATATGTAACTGCCAAGTGATGCCAGCTTGCAACAGAGGAATAAATACCATGCATCCATGAAAAGCTCTCTGAACCAGAGCTGCTTGCGATATGCATTGAACTATTACTGAGGCATATTCAGACTCCCCCGCTATCTTTACAGTCACTAACTACACACAAACACGTATATGGATGATATATGAATGTGTTTCTTTTTTAAAAAAAGAAGTACTGTGCTATATTCATCAACAATATGCTGGAAAAATTACCATACGTTCTTAATGACATATATTTATCTCATGCCATATCTATACCTCATCCTACCTACATCATATATCTATCACATTTTACGCATTAATAACTCTTTAAAAGCTACATACAGTGTCTATTAATATTTTAAATTTTAAACTATAAATAGGGATTTAGCACACATAATTGCTTCTCATTTAGGGTTTGTACATCATACATCTTGTGCTACGCAGTACTTTTGCCATGCCCCAGTAATCAGGGTATAGTTAGAAATGAGCTTTCGTTGCATATTTGACAAATGGCCCATTTCAATCCTGCTGGTGTGCTGAGGGAGCCCCACGGCAATCAGACTGGAGAGGCCTGTGACAACTGGGAAACAGCAGTTGGAGTGGGGAGACCATCAGAGAAACAGAGGAGTCTGCTAGCTGGGTGGTCTGAGGAGAGGAGTGATATTGTAGAGCGAGGAGAAGCAAGTATCCAAATAGTTCGGAGAGAGGCAGGACAGGAAAACTAACAGAGAGATGGGGACAAAGTGGCAGAGTAAGAGCTCTTGCAAGTAAAGAGTGACAGGACTTTGAGGAGCAGGCACTGATTCTAATGAAAAATTAAGTAAGAGAGTATGTGCTTGTTCTGGGAGAGAGGCTGAAGGGGTCACAGGAAGCATTTGGGAGAACTGTAGAGACCATTCATCAGGAAACTCAAAGAAATCCATTAACAGGACTTATCAAAGACCACCAGGGACAAACACCTAGGACAATATCATCACGATCATAAACTGAAGCCGCTAGATCAGGGGTCAGCAACCTATGGCACAGTGCCAAAGGCGGCACTCGAGATGATTCAGAGTGGCACTCACATTGCCTGAGTCCCGGCCACCGGTCCCAGGTGCTCTGCTGCCAACCTGGGGTCCTGGCCCCCGGCCTGGGGCTCTGCAGCCATCCCCAGCTGTGGCCCACTGCAGCTCAGCACCCCCACCTTAAAAATTGTTCCAGCAGCACTGTACTGGGATATTTTTAAGTCCTGATTTGCTACCTACATCACTATCACGTCATGTGGAACAGCACATTTGCGTTTGATGTTGTGCATGCTGTCTGTTGAGATTTTTTTCCCCACTGTAAGTTGAGGGGTACATTTGACAAAATGTCAGCTCCTAAGAAAGCAAAGTTAGATGTCTGTTCATTTCACTTCACAGCAACATTTGGTGGCTAAGTCGTGGCAAGGTTTTGGTGCACTTTGTAAACTGTTTTGATGCAATCAAGGCCTTTTTATCGGAAAAAGGACAAAACTACCCCAAACTGGATGATGACAAACAGCTGTGTAAGCTCATGTTTCTAACTGACATCACCACTCACCTAAACAAACTCAACCTCTGTCTCCAGGGTGCAGGGCAAATGGTTCTGGATCTTTATGAAATCTGGACGGCATTTGTTGTAAAACTAGCAGTTTTTTCTTGGGATATTCGAACTTCAACTTTCTGCTACTTCTAACACATAAAAGAGCTATCAACACGTTGCACTGTCAGTGTCGATGAGATTGGAACATACTTGCAAGAACTGGAATCAGAATTTTCTGACAGATTTCAAGATTTCTAGCGATTTGGCCCAATACTTACTTTTCTAATTAAACCTGAAAAGTTCAATGAAAGTGACTTGGATTTGTCTGTATTTAAGTGGATGGTTGTTGAAGATTTCGAAATGCAGCTTATTCCATTAAAAAGCTCAGAATTGTGGGCATCAAACATTGGAGATTTGCGGAGTGCACTTAAAGCTA